AGTTGAATAATAACTAGGGAAGATAGAAGGAGAATTGATGTCTTTGAGCTGTGGTGTTAGAGAAGAGTATTGAGTGTACCATGGATTGCTAAAACATAGGTTCATCCTGGAGAGGGTTAAACCGGTCTACTCCTTGGAGGCAAGGATTCTGAGGCTTCATCTGACATATTTTGGACATGTTGTAAGGAGGAACCAGTCCTTGGAAAGGGACATCATGCTTGGGAGGGTGGAGGAAGAGTGTAGGAGGGGAAGGCCCCCTATAAGGTGGACTGATTCAGTGACAGGGGTAATTAGGATGGGTGTATCGGAAACAGTGATATTGGCACAGGACAGAGCAGAGTTTAGGGCTATTGTACATAGGATCATTATGAGTCACAAGTGGCACGATGGCACATAACAAGAACAACAACATCACTAATATCACATAAGAGCAAAATCGTGAAGATTATCCAGAAACAAATGGAGCAGTACATTGACAGAGAACTACCAGAAACACAAGCTGGGTTTAGAAGAGGTCGTAGCACTAGAGGCATTATTACCTAAATTAGATGTATCTTGGAAGAAAGCAAAGAGTATCAGAGGAATGTCTATCTGTGTTTCATTGACTATGCAAAGGCATTTGACTGTGTACATCACAATGAATTATGGCTAACTTTGAGGAAAGTTGGAATCCCAGAACACTTGATTGTGTTTATGTGGTACTTGGACCAGGAAGCAGTCCTGAGAACAGAGCAAGGAAGCACTGGATGGTTCAAAATCAGGAAAAGAGTGTGTCAGGGACATGTCCTGTCTCCATACCTTTTCAATCTGTGTGTATAACATATAATTCAAATTCAAAAGGCTGGATTTTATGAAGAGGAATGTGTCATCAGGATTGGAGGAAGACTCGTCAACAACCTACATTATGCCGATGACAAACTGAGGAGGACCTGAAGTGCTTCCTACAGAAGAAGGTCAAGGACTGTAGTCTTCAACAGACAGAAGCTCAACATCAAGAAAACAAAGATTCTCACCACTGGAACAATTGGCAGCACCATGAAGGATGGAGAAGAGATTGAAGTTGTTAACAATTTCCACTTGCTGAACTCCACAATCAACACTCTTGGCACCAGCAGTCAGGAAAACAAAAGACAAATTGCACTGGGAAAATCTGCTGTCAGTGACTTCTCCAGAGTACTGAGAAGCAATAATGTCAGTCTAGAGACTAAGGTGTGCCTGTTCCAGGCCATGATCTTCACAATTACTTGCTATGCATCAGAAAGCTGGACAATAACTAAGGATGACAGAGGAAGAATTGATGCCTTTGAGTTGTGCTGAAGGAGAGTCTTGAATATACAATGAACCACCAAGAAAACAAATAAATCTGTCTTGGTTAGGATTTTGAAGCTTCATCTCACATACTTTGGGTATGTGGTCAGGAGAGGCCTTCAATAAGGACATCATCTTGGAAGGGTAGAGGGACAATATAGGAGAGGAAGACCCCAGATGAGATGGATTGATTGATTCAGTAACTGAGGCAATGGGGTAGGTGTGTCAGAGTCGATAAGACTAGCTCAGGACAGGGCACGCTTCAGAGTTGTTGAACTTAAGGTTACTACAAGTCAAATGTGACCTGACAGCACATAACAACAACATTCACAGCTACTTCTTGTCATTTTGTGTTCTACCACATCATCAAATGTGGATCCTTCATTTGATGAAAGCTTTACTCCATCTGCATTATTACGGTAGGCTTTGAGGAGACAGCTCTTCCCTAGGTATATTTTGACTGGTAACTCAGTGGACTTTCCTTCTGTTATTATATGAAGCAATGTCCTGCTGATATTCATATTTCAAGGCCTCATTATTCAGAAGTGGATGACCAATTCTACTTCTTAGTCTGGAAACTAAGTGATGAAACCTATACATCTTAGGTGACTCTGTTGGTACATTAAAAACTGATTACATATCTTCCAGCATCACAACAACAGGTAAGCTACCACAGTACAGACCATGGTGTGGCGTATGTAAAATTGATAAACTCATTGCTATTAAGTTGATTTTTACCCACAGCAACCCTATAGGACAGAGTATAAATGCCCCATTGTGTTTTCGAAACATTAATCTTTACAGAATCAGGTTGCCTTATCTTTGTCCATAGTGAGGCTGGTGAGTTCAAACCATTAGCTTCTAGTAAGCAATCTCTTTAACCACTGTGTCACCATGGCTGCTATATGATTGCAACTTTAATGACAACTAACTAGATCTTTATAATGGAATTTGTTTAAAAAAAACAAAACAAAACATTCTTAGTGTTCTTGAACCATTTGTATACCTCAGCAGCTAAATGAAATAAGTAAAAAGGTGTTTTTTCTTGTTATATGGTTTTAAAAATACCTTTAAACTTTTAAAAAATTTACTATGCCATTAATTATCTGCTCTGGTTTATATATTGTCCTACCACGTCAAAGTATATTTGGACACCAATAAGTTTGGATAAAAATACATTGGCGGAAAATTGGCTCAAAATAGCTGAGTAACCCTAATAAGCAGTTTATGTCGTCTGGGTGAGGTACAAACTAGGTAATAAGTCTATTTTTACTTGACATCAGTACCAATTATCACAGAAGGTATATTCAGTACACAAATAAAACTTGGAACTGATGTTAAATTTAGTATTAAAGTTGATTTCAATAAAAACAACATGTGGAAAAAATGAGTACTTGAGTACAGTCATTTCAAGGTTTGTTGGTCAGTGAAAAAGCTCCACTCCAAACCCAGGAGGTAGGAGGGCAGGGAGCAAAGGTGGAAGAAATCATAATGTCCTGAATGCCTACTCTGCTAGGGGCATGAGGACAACCACATTAACTAGTGCTCACTCCAAACCAATCCTGAGGCTGTCTGAAAAGAGATCCTTGTAGTTAGGTGCCATGGAGTCAATTCTGACTCATAGTGATTATGTACAACAGGTAGAAACTGTGCTTGATCCTCTGTGCTGAAGCTCACTACTGCAGTCACTATGTTAACTCATTTCCTTGAGGGCCTTCTTCTCCTTCTTTTCTAGGTCTAGTGGCCTTCTCCAGGGACTGGCCCTTCCCAGTAATATGGCCAAAATATATGAGATCCAGTCTTACCATCCTTGCCTCTAAGGAGCATTTTGGCGACACTTCCTCCCAGATAGGGTTGTTTGTTCTTTTGGTCCTCTGGGCATACTTAATATTCTTTACCAACACTACAACTCAAGGATACCAATTTTTCCCCCCTGCTTCCCTTACTTATTTTCCTGCTTTCACATTTATATCAAGCAAATGAAAATGTCATATCTAGGTTAAGCTGAAACAAAATTTTTAAACTGATATTTGCTCTTTAGAACTCTAAAGAGGCCCTTGACAGCATATTTGCTCAATGTAATAGATCATTGGCTATAGTGACTGCTGCTTCCATGGGTGTTGTTTCTGGATCAGAGTAAATTGAAATCCTTGACAGTTTTAACCTTTTCTTCATTTCTCATGATGTTGTCTTTGGGTCTAGTTGTGAGGATTTTTGTTTTTATCTGTTAAGTTTAGGCCATATTGAAGGCTATTTGTTGTCTTTGATAATTTTTTCAGTAAGTGCTACAATTCCTCATCACTTTCAGCAAGAAAGGTTGTGTGATTTCCATAGCACAGGTTGTTGATGAGTTTTCCTCCAATTCTGATGCCAAATTCTTCATATGTGTAGTGCATTATCTCAGATCATTTGCACAATGTACATATTGAATGTTGTTGTTATGTACCGTCAAGTCAGAACTGACTTGGAGCTGATTCTCCAGTGGGTTTTTAGAGACTGTAAATCACACAGAAGAGAATGCTTATTTCTCTCCCAAAGAGCAACTAGTGGATTTGAACCAGTTGCCTTTGGGTTGGCACCACAGCTCCTTATTCACTAAGTCACTAGTGTTCCATATTGAATAGGTATGGTGAAAGAATGGAACCTTGATGAGCAGCTTTCTTGATTTTAAACCATGTAATATCACCTTGTTCAGTTCCAGTTACCGCTTCTTGGTTTATAATCAGGTCCTGCATTAACACAATTAAATATTCCAGGATTTCTGTTCTTTTCAATGTTATCCATAATTTATTCTGACAAATGTCCTTGCTTAGTCAATAAAACATAAATAAACCTCTTTCTGGAATTCTCTGTTGTTATTGTTATATGCTGTTAAATCAGAATCTACTCATTGCTGGTCTTCCAGTGGATTTTCAGAGGAAGTAAACCAATGGGAGTTAATTGCCCATCTTTCTCCTGTGGTGCAGCTGCTAGATTTGAACCGTGTGCTTTTGAGTTGACAGCTCAGCTCCTCACAAGTAGGCCACCAAAGCTCCCTTGTATGCAGTAGACTATGTGAATGTGAAGTTAGGCAAGGGATTTGTGCCAAAGACATATATGAGGAGAAAAAACATCGATTATAAATGGCAGTTAAAGCAGTAAGAGCAGAAAGAGGTTTAGTTGTGTGACGTTATTGCAAAGTAAGGGCTTAATTAGTCTCAACAAACACTTCAGTTGTTTTTCTTAGTCTCCTGTACAGGTCTATTTCATGTATACTTACATAGGTATCTAAGCCACGCAAAATGTTAGAGTTAAAATTTTGATGTCCAAAGCAGAATAACCCAGATAAGCATACAATTTAGAATTCCATTTTAATCAAGTATAAGTGCATTAGCATAGAGTCTCTGAATCCTTTCCTGTTAATATATTCTACACTGAATGTGTAAAGTATAATGGTGTAATTTGTTTTACAAGGGACACAATGATTTATAGAAGCTATGCAGTAAATAATATTCTACTGAATAAGGCAATTAGCATCTCTTAAAAATACAAAATTCCCCCTCTAAAAAATGTGTCGGAAACAATTTAATATTTGAATGGTATAAAATAAGGAGAAATTAATCTGAATCATTGGTGCCTTTAGCATGCAGTCACCAAAAGATCAAAGCTGGCATGACAAGATGAGAAAAAAGAACAAGCTGTGTCACCTGTACCCTGAGTCTGTCATGCAGCTTGTGGTCCGACAGCCAAGGGTGCTTCAGAGCTTCGCTTGCACTTATTCTCCAACTAGAGGAAGGACAGGAGACTGTCAGCGGTGCATACCAAGTGTGAGGCCTCTGCCTCCAGGAAGCCAGATAACCGAATGCCAAATTCACCCTCAATTTGACTCTCTCTACACTGCGGATTAGCAGAGATAGTATAAACATCATATCCTGTCAGAATGACTCTCAGAAATGCAGGAAAAGTGCGTAACTTAAAATTTTTTACTTAATCATTCTTGATGTAATATCTGAGCTTCATAAATTCATCTTTTTTTTCATTCAGTGAAAGAATAAACGCAAATTTATCATTGTAAAAACAAAACTATGATATTATGAATTATTTCAAAATCAACTTATATATTACAACTTTTGAATAAATGTGTAAGAACTGTTGAATTAAGAACATTTGAACAGCAAATTTAAGAGAGAATTATATGGGGAATGGATTTTTAGGGTAAGTACATTTTCAGAGCTAGTATAACTTTTGGGAGAAACTAAACTTACACACCTTTAGTTATATCCTTTTTGGAACCTATAAATTTTGTATAAGATTTTTTTTAAAGTATTATATGGCAGAATAATAAATATTGTATTCTAACAATAAGCTTTTAAAACTTTTTTTGGCATACTAGTATTTATCTCACTAAAACAAATAATCTTTCAAAACAATAATTTTGGATAAAACTCTCTTAAAGTTAGACTTTATATATACTGATAATCATGACCCAGTCAAACAGATATGCATTTTGGAGGAATACAATTCAATCCCTGGTGGCATCCTGCATGAAATTTCCAGTGTACTCACTCTTAAAATTCACCCTTACTCAGGTCACGGCCCTAATCAGATAGAAGAGGAATTTTACGGATAGGTGACCTACATCACCTTTTATCTTAGAAGACATACAAGTAGAGAGACATGAGCAGGGAGTAACTTTAGTTCCAGCCAGAAAGAAGAGCTTGGAGTGGAGCACACTCATTGGGCCAGAGTCCTTGTGCTATGAACTCTTTAGATCTAGGGGAAGATTAATGCCTAGACACATGGAGATCTCTGAAAGCTGCCAAGCTGACACGTATGTCATAAGTATGGAAAGAGTATAGCACTTTTCCTGGTCGTTAGTGTCCTAAATTCTGATTTATAGCCTCTTAAATTATGAGAGAGGAAATTTCTGCTTGTTAAACTATCTATTTGTACTATGCACTAGATAACTAAGATATGTATCTGATATCTAAATATATGTGTTGAAGAACAGATAAGACTTTCTTTAAACTATTGTTAGATGCTACTGTGTCCACCACAACTCACAGCAACCCTATAAAAAAACAGATCTGAACTTTGCTCCATCCTGTGCCATCTTCACTACGTCTTTCATGTTTGAATCCACTGTTAGTGTTCATCTATCTTGTTAAGGGTCTTTCTCTTTTTCACTATCTCTCTACCTTTTCCAGAATGTCTGTTTTAAAAGACTGCCCTAGTAGAGGTCAAGAAATGTTTAATAATCTGGTAACAAAAGCTCCGTTAGTTGGACCCAATATGAGTTGTTGTTGTTGTGTGAATCTCCTGCAACTCATAGCGATCTTATGTATAACAGCTCTGAAGCCAGCTCTGTCCTGAGTCAGTCTCACTGACTCTGAAACACTTACACCCATTGCCCCACTTACTGAGTCAACCCATCTCATCTGGGGTTTTTCTTTCCTGCGCTATCCTTCCTCCCTTCCTAATATTATGTCCTTCTCCAAGGCATGGTCTCTAAGTATGTAATGCCACATGCCCAAAGTATGTAAAATGAAGCCTCAAAATCCTAGCATCCAAGGAGAAGCTTGGTTCTACCCTCTCCAAGACAGACTTAATTGTTTTCTTGATGATCCATGGTATGTTCAAGACTCTACTCCAGCACCACAACCCAAAAGTATCAATTCTTCTTCTGTCATCCTTAGTCACTGTCAAGCTTTCTGAAGCACAGTAAGTAATTGTGGAGACTTTAGTCTCTAGATTGACATCACTGCTTCTCAGTACTCTGGAGAGTTCTCTGACAGCACATTTTCCCAGTGAAATTCATCTTTTGATTTCCTTACTGCTGGTGCCAAGAGTGTTGATTGTGAAGCTGAGTAAGCTGTAATTGTTAATAACTTCAATCTCTTCTCTGCCTATTATGGTGCTGCCAATTTGGCCCAGTGGTGAGAATCTTCATCTTCTTAATTTTGAGCTTCAAGCCATATTGAAAGCAGTAGTGCCTGACTTGCAGCAAGTGCTTCAGGTCCTCCTTAGTTTCAGCAAGCAAGGCTGTGTTATTTACATAACACAGGTTGTTGATGAGTTTTCCTCCAATCCTGATGCCATAATCCTTATAAAAGCCAGACTCTCGAATGATTTGTTCTGCATATAGATTAAAAAAGTACGGAGATACGACGCATCCCTGGTGTACACCTTTCTTGATTTTGAACCATTCAGTATTTCTTTACTCTGTTCTAAGAACTGTTTCCTGGTCTGAATATAGGTTTTGCATGAGCACAATAAAATGTTCTGGGGTTCCCATTCTTCTCAAGGTTAGCCACAATTTGTTGTGATCCACACAGTCAAATGCCTTTGCATAGTCAATGAAACACAGATAGACATGCCTCTGGTATTCTTTACTTTCTGCCAAGATCCATATGACAGTGGCAATAATGTCTCTAGTGCCACTACCTCTTCTAAACCCAGTTTATATTTCTGGTAATTCTCTATCAGATGTTTCTGGTTAATCTTCAGCAGGAGCTTGCTTGTGTGTCATATGAGTGACATTGTACTATAATTTCCACACTCTGTTGGGTCACCTTTCTTGGCGATGGGAATAAATGTAGATCTCTTCTAGTCAGTTGGCCAGCTAGTTGTTCTCCAGATTTTGGCACAATCTGCTGGGCACGACCCATCTGAATGTCTTCTTCTTTTTTATTTTCCAAGCCAAACTGTATCCAGCTTTATTAAAGATACTTTTCATAAACAATCATGGTATTTCAGGCAGGACATGGGCAGACAATTGTTAACAGTATACAACAACTTTCAAACTCCCTTCTTCAATGGACTACCAAAATCAGAAAAACCACTATAAAACCCAATGAAATCTTCATTTGATGCTCTGAACAGGGAAAGTTTAGAGTGAGGGTTGACATTTCACATTTAGCATGTTGTTTAACAACTTTTCACAGCCAACCCTGACTTTCAGAAAAATGAAAAAATGGCAGAATTACCAATCTTAAGATCCACAATCTTTAAAAGGAAACAAAAACAAACAAACAAACAAAAAAAACCAAAAAACAGTGCTCTTTTGAGGAATGCTACTCAGATGTCATCGAAAAAGTCCAGATTGCCTGACAAAATGGTAATCAATTTCTCGGGGGGATCAGGTCCAAAAGGTCTCTGGATTTATGGGAGTCAAGTCTATGCTGAAGGCAGAGGGAGAAGAGGACATAAAAACAGATTTTTGTTTTTCCACACCACAAGGCATTTGTGCCAAGTTCGCTAATGTGTGTCAACACCAGAGAATGCCTCCTTCTGACAACCAAGAGGAAGTCTCTCAAAAGCTAGAAGGTGTTTCAGAGACATACTATTTAGTGACATTTGCCCCTTCCCCCAAAAAACAATGAAGTGTTCTGTGTGCTATCAACATAGCTTAAAAAAAAAAAAGTAAAACAAAATTCTGCATTTTTGTAAAACTTGATAAAAAATAGTATTTCAAACTGTACAGTCACCAGAAGTACACAGTTATCAAAAATGCACACACTTCACTTGGCATCTCCAGCACCTTCAACTTTCTGTGCCCGGTCTGTTTTGGCGTCTCCGTTTTCTGCAGGGTTATTTCCATCCTTGCCAGCATCAGCCTTCCCCTTTTTCCCTTTGGGTACTTTCTCTCCCTTCTTTGCAGGGGCCTTTTTAGGCTTAGGCTCGGGCTTTGGAGGAGCAGGTTTAGCAAATAACATTGCAGATCTCCTCTGTGGCTCGTCCTTCACCTTGGCTTTATCTCCCTTAACATCTCCTTCTGCCTTTCTCGTGGGCATGGTGGACACGA